AGAAAGCAGAACTGCTTAATTCATTCTTTGCATCGGTCTTCACACAAAAAGAAACTATAGCCCAACCTACCAAAAACATTACTGTAAAAGACAGACTAGAAATAAAAGTTAAAATAAGCAAAAAAAAAAAAAAATAGTAAGAGAACACCGGTCTGATCTTGATGAATACAAATCACCGGGACCTGACGGATTACATCCCAGAGTTCTAAAGGAGCTGGCAGATGTCATTTCAGAACCACGGTACCACATCTTTCAAAAATTCAAAAGCACCAGGGAACTACCAGAGGACTGGAAAAGAGCTGATGTGGTTCTCATCTTCAAAAAAAAAGGAGGGGAGGGGGAACCCCAGGAAACTATAGATCAATCAGCCTAACATCAATAACCAGGAAGATACTGGAAAAGATAATTTAAAAAAAATTGCCAACATCTAGAAACGAGTAAATAATAACTAGCAGTCAGCATGGGTTTGTTAAAAACAGATCATGCCAAACCAGTCATATTTCATTCTTCAACATAGTAACTAAATTAGTAGACCAGCAAAATACTGTGAACACAATATATCTAGACTTCACCAAGGCATTCGACAAAGTAGACCACAACCTACTTCTTGGTAAGCTAGAAAAAAGTGGGATAGATAGCATCACCACCAGTTGGATTCGTAACTGGCTGACAAACCATACTCAACGAGTAGTCCTTAATAGGATTATGTCTACATGGAGGGAAGTAAATAGTGGGGTACCACATGGTTCCGTCTTAGGCCCAGTACTCTTCAATATTTTCATAAATGACTTAGATGAGGGAATAGAAGGGGAACTTACCAAATTTGCAGATGATACTAAGCTGGCAGGAATAGCTAACATCCTAGATCGGGTGTTGGCAATACACAGCTCCAGAGCCGCATGTGGCTCTTTGACCCCTCTCCTGCGGCTCCCTGCCACCCAGTCGCGCAATCTGCTCTCTGCCCCAAGACACTGGCCTGACCCGGTCGCACAACCTGCTCTCCACCCCGAGAAGGTTTCTGCAGAGCCGCGCAACTGAAGCACCTCTAGCGTTTTCTCATCACTGCCTGCAACCTGCTGCTTTTTGCGATTCCGTGTCCTTTGCAGGCAGCTCAGCGCCAGCCGCAGTCTCCTTCGTGTCAGCTCAGGAATGAGGGGAACGAGGAAGAGCAGTAGCTGCCACTGGATGCAGGGAGGGAAGAGCTCCAGCTTTCCTGTGCAGCGCGGCCAGCTACTCACCTCAGTGCACAGTGGCGGCAGCGGGAGGAGTTGCCACCACCGCCGCTGTGATCCTGGCCCAGGAGGGTATCCCACTTGTGTACACATGAGAGAGAGAGAGAGAGGAGAGAGAAAAGGGGAAAGAGAGAAATGAAATGTCAGAGTTTAGGCAGCGTAACTAGTATTATGAGATAAACCCAGGAGCAAAACACAGCACACAGAGCCTTTAGATAAATAACAGTGGTTTATATACAGATAAATATTTACAGACTTATCCATGGTAAATACCTTATCATACAGGTACTGACACAATGGAGAGCAATTGAGATACACAACAAGAGAGAACATGAGGAGAAGGGAAATGCCCTCTAATGGCTTCCCTTATATAGGCAGCTTCTTACCCAGCTTCTTAAAGTGGAAGTAACCCTGCTGCCTCATTCCCATTGCATCGGCTTTCAGTTGCCTCCACTTACAACCTTCCACCAGCTTACAGCTATTAAATCTACATACCCTGACATGAGAAAATGATGGAAGGAGAGAATGAGAGAGAGAAAGAGAAACAAATGAGAGAGAGAGAGAGAGAGAGAGAGAGAGAGAGAGAAGGGGGAGAGAGAAATGAGAGAGAGCTGGAGGGAGAGAACGAGAGAGAGGGAAACAAATGAGAGAGAGAAGGAGAAAAAAGGAAGAGAGGGAGAGGAAAAGAAAAACAGAAATGAGAGGGAGAAAAAAGAGAGAGAGAAGAGAAAAAGCAAAATGAGAAAATAATGGAGGAAGCGAATGAGAGGAAAAAGAGTGAGAAACAATTGAGAGGGAGAGAGAAAGCTGGAGGGAGAGAATGAGAGAGAGAAGGGGGAGAGAGAAAGAAAAAGAGGGAGAGGAAAAAGAGAAAAACAAATGAGAGAGAGAGAAATGAGAGAGAAAAGGGGAGAAAAAGAGAAATGACAAAATGATGGAGGGAGAGAATGACAGAGGAAAAAGGGTAAGAAACAATTGAGAGAGAGAAGTGGGGGAGAGAAATGAGAGAGAGCTGGAGGGAGAGAGAGGGAAACAAATGAGAAGGAGAGAAAGAAAGAAAAAGGAAAGAAAAAGAGGGTGAGGAAAAAGAAAAAATGAGAGGGAGAGAAAGAAATGAGAGAAAAGGGAAGAAAAGAAAGAGAAATGAGAAAATGATGGAGGGAGAGAATGAGAGAGGAAAAGGAGAGAAACAAATGAGAGAAGGGGAGAGGGAGAGAGAAATGAGAGAGTTGGAGGGAGAGAAAGAGGGAAACATGAGAGAGAGAAGGAGGGAGAGAAAGAAAGAAAGAAAGAAAGGAGAGGGAGAGGGAAAAAAAGAGAAAAACAGAAATGGGAGGGAGAGAGAGAGGGAGACCCATTTCACACAGAAAATAGTATGTGTGGCTGGGGGGTGTCATGTGACTGGCTGGGAGTGACGTTGAGTTGGCCATGCCCACCCAGGTTTTGTAGCTCCCAGTGTTTTCTGTGGGAAACAGGTCCAAATGGTTATTTGAGTGTTTAAGGTTGCAGACCCCTGCCCTAGATGATAGGCTCAAGATGATAGGCTCAAGATAGGCTCAAGATTTTGACAGACTTGAACACTGGGCCCTATCTAATAAAATGAAATTCAATGTAGAGAAAAGTAAAGTCTTACACTTAGGCAATAAAAATCAAACGTATGCATGATGAAGCCAGGGTCAATAGCAGTAACTGTGAGAGGGAGTCTTAGTGGACAACCAGTTAAATACGAACCAGCAGTGTGCGACGTCAGCCAAAAAAGCCAATAGAATCCTAAATTGCATTAACAGAGGGCTACAATCAAGATCAAGTGAGGTACTAATACCACTCTATAAAGCCTTAGTAAGACCACACCTAGAATACTGCATCCAGTTTTGGCCACCACACTATAAAAAAGATGTTGAGAAGAGCAACCAGCATGATTAGGGGACGAGACTAAAACATGAAGAACAGTTACGGGAACTGGGCATGGCTAGTGTAGTGAAGAGAAGGACCATGGAGACATGAGAGCAGTGTTCCAATATTTGAGGGGCTGCCGCAGAGAGGAAGGGGTCGAGCTATTTTCCAAGGCACCTTAAGGCCAGATAAGGAATAATGGATGGAAACTGATCAAGAAGAGATTCAACATAGAAATAAGGAAGTTGTGGGAGCTTCATCACTGGAGGCTTTCAAGAAGAGATTGGACTGCCATTTGTCAGAAATGGTGTAGGGTCTCCTGCTTGGGTGGGTGGGGGTGGACTAGATGACCTACAAGGTCTCTTTCAACTCTGTTAATCTGTTAAAACTCCTTCACTACCTCTTGGAAGGCACAAACGTTTAGCATATCTGGATATTTGGTCTCCTTATCAGATAACATTCATTATGTGAGTGTAGTTTGAATCACAGAGGGTTTTTCCTATATCTTTCTGATGTCCTTTCTTTCTGAAACAGATTGAGCTTCTTAATTCCCGCTGAAAGGAGTAGAGAGTAGTATATCCTGCAACACAGGGATTCTGTGGAAGAGTATGCTTCACTTTTGAGTTCTAGTTTACAAATTGCTTCTTTGAGACATAGAGCCACTCTGTGCAATAATTCCTGCCCTTTGTATGACTTATATCTCAACAAAAATATATCCAGTTGCTTCTCTCCATTTCACCTGATTTCTGTAATACTTGCCATATAACTGTTTTCTAGCATTAAACACATCTCATTTTGACTAAGGGACTTCTGGGATTTGCATACAAGTGCTTACACACAATATCTTCATTTAATTTTTTCCCATATGGCTTTCTTGATCAACTACACTAATTTTCTAGATCTGCACTAACCCTCCTCCTCCCCCCCCCCAAACCATTATAATAATTTATACTCTCATCCTCTGGAGTGGTTTCTTCCTATACCAAATGCTCCTTACATTCTGTTAGCTACCCCACCCACCCAGAATTAGTTTAAAAGCTGCTTTGCCACATTTTTTGATAATATGTGCCAGCAATCTGGTACCTTCTTTGGCCACTTCCCATTCGCAGAAGCCTGGTTTGTTCCCAAAGGTATTCTAATGCTTCACAAATCCAAACCTTTCTCCTAACATCTTCTCATCCAGGCACTAAGGCTGTTTAGTTCTGTCTGTTTAATGGGGCTGGCATGTGGAACTGATAGCATTTTAAAGGAATCTGCTTTGACAATTCTGGATTTCAGCATTCTACTCCATAAATATGGTTTCCAGGACTGAATGATTATTTTTGCTTTCATTAATGCCAATGTGTAACATGGCCACATGCTCTTCTCCAGCACTATCTGCCAGACATGGCACATTATACCCACGAGCTTTAATTCTGTCAACCAAGTCACCATGTGATTGAATGCCTAGCGCTTAGCCACCCATCTGTAGTAGAAGTTATAAGCGCAGCAAACAAATGTAGGTTCATCCCTTGTCATTTATGAACCATATCAGTACCATCAATATTATAAAGGAAGGTGTTCTAAAATGCATCTTTAAAAAAAACCCCACTCCATCCCCACAAGCCCAGGAATACTAATCTAACAGTATATAGACTTGGATAAATGGTTGGGGTGAGGATGGACCCTTATGGACATTATTCTAGAAGGATGAATAAAAACACAGCAAAGTTAAAAGAAGTCTCAAAGTAATATTTACAGCAAGCTTTATTTATTTGTGCAAAAATATTGCTCAGCTACAAGAAAACAATACATTCTGCATGTGTTGCCTGTTAAAGTATTGATAAGGTTTTTAGGCAATTCCAAAAATATTTAATTGGTTCCTACTTTTTCTAGATCAGAGGAACCTTGGTATGTCCATGAGAGTAGAGCGTTCTACTCTGGATCAGGTGAAGAAACGTTTTGAAGTGAACAAGAAAAAAATGGAGGAGAAACAGAAGGATTATGACTTTGAGGAGAGGATGAAGGAGCTCAGAGAAGAGGTGAAGTATTAACCAGAAATTAAACAGGACATGATTGTAATGGAATACCTCTTAAACTGATAGATATTCTATTATGATTATCTTGCTGAAGAGTCATTTTCACATTGTCTTTAAAAAAGATGTGCAGCAATAATGATGATCATCATTCTAGATCAGGGGTGTCAAACTTGATTTCATTGAGAGCCGCATCAGGGTTGTGTTTTACCTCGTGGGGCCCAGGGGGTTGGCCAGGGGGCCATGGCCAGCTTGATATCACTGGTCTTGGGGGCGCCTTTGGTTGCCCAAGCACTCTGCCAATGAAAACGGAATCCCAAGCTCCATTTCCAGCTGTGATGGCCTCCTGAAACCCTCGGCCAGGGAAAATGGAGCTCTGGAGGGCTGCATGCAGGCCAGTACTTCACTGTTTCCAGGGCGGCCCCATGGGCCAGATCTAAACACCCCGTGGGACAGATCCAGCCTGCGGGCCTTGAGTTTGACACCCCTGTTCTAGAGGGAATTAGATCTTTGTGCCAAATTCAGCATATTTACTATTCTGATATTGCCCCAAGAGTTGCTTGTCTTGAAAATGATCAGGAAAGTTATTTTTTTTTCTTGATTTCCCCAGTATAATAATGGGCTGAATACAGCATTCAAGATTTCTCTTACTGTATTTCATTGGCTTTGCAGCACAATCTGGTGAAATTGTGTATGAAGACTTCTAGTGATTAGGAAAACTATATATTTTCGATATTTTCCCCTCTTTTTTTATTTTTTATTTTAATTTTGATTTATATTCCGCCCTTCTCTGGAGACTCAGGGCGGCTTACAAGGCGTTAAGCAATAGCCTTCATACTTTTGTATATTTTATACAAAGTCAGCTTATTACCACAAACCGGTCCTCATTTTACCTACTGTGGAAAGTATGGAAGGCTGAGTCAACCTTGAGCCTGGTGAGAATTGAACTCGCAGTAATTGCAGGCAGCTGGAAGCTAAATACTACCTTTAACAGTAGCATTAGTCTGCTGCGCCACTCAGGCTCCTATGTGGGTTTTTTAAAACCCACATGTGACAAAAATTAGAATTATATGTAATATAGAAATATTATAGAGGCAGGTATATTGTCTGTCTTGTTCAGTACAACAAAATTGATTTTTAAACATTTATTATACCTAAAACTGGAAGATCTGAGAAAGATTTTCAGAAGTCATGGGACAATCTTTAATATCACTCACAGGTACTTGCACTTCCTAGAAACAAAAGAAACCATTTGACTTTATTGCATGCATATATACATAATTAATGAAGGTTAGAATATTAAGATAGTTTTGAAAATTATCTTTACTATTTAGCATAGAAGCACAATGGAGCAAGGAAGGAAAGAAGGGAGGAAGGCCTTGCAAAGCATCTTTTTTGGTTATATTTTATGCTACCTTCTGTCATTTGAAAGTGATCTAGAAGATGACCCCTTGCTTGTTTCCTTCCAACATCTCTTCTCCAGCCCCCTATGTTAATTAGAATGCAAAAGAGTGACTAGCCAAATCACTTAGAATTGAGTATCTGAAAGGGAACTTGAACCTGTTCTTCTGGCTCTTGAACCATTGCTGTAGGAATGAAAAATTGGGTTTTTGGCAAGCCATGGATTGATCATCTTTATAAAATGGGAGATTCAGAATTTGCTTTTGGAATTTTGGAAACAAGAAATAATATAGAAACTATGTATATGAATATATGACTTTATTCAGGTTGCCCTAATAATCACTTCAAGACATGTTTTAGATCTCTTGGTTGTGTGGGTAGTTAATATAAAAAAGTCCTGCAATGTCATGCAAGCTTTTGCAGCCTTAACAACTGCTGAGAAACCATTAACCAAAGTCCCACTTCAACATCTCTCAACCCAAGCATGGCTGCTTTCCAGGTCTTGCAATCTCACAGAACAACAAAATATTTTGATTAGAGTTGTGGAAGTCCTTTGATGCCAGAGCCATTCAAAACACAGCTTACGTTCTGCTGAGCAGCTGTCATCAGGCTGTTCCAAGAGCTATCAGCTGCTGACATTGCCTTCTGGCATCATTCAGCACCACATTTGTAACAGGGCATTATTACAGAAGCCATGTGATTGTTTTCAAGTAAAGCTGTATTTCTATCACTATTAATTTCAGATGAAGTCTTCAATGTTAGTTTAAAAATGGATGCTGACAGCACATGAGTGTTCTCCCATACAATCAGCATCTTCTCTTGGCACTTTGGTATTTGCACCTTTAGGTTGCTTTTCTTTCATTGTTGCTTTGGGATGAGCCATTTTTTCTTCCACTCATTTTGTTTCTTCTTCAGACCAGAAATTGCCTAATTTCTGAGGTTTGTCTTTCTTTTCAAAAATTTTGATTATGTAAGCGAGCTTGGATAAAAAGAGTTATTTCCTGTGTTTCAGGAGGAAAAGGCCAAAGCCTACAAAAAGGAAAAACAGAGGGAGAAGAAAAGGAGGGCAGAGGAAGACTTGACATTTGAAGAGGACGATGAAATGGCTGCTGTAATGGGTTTCTCTGGTTTTGGCTCAACTAAGAAAAGCCACTGATAAGCCAGAAACTGTATTTTGAATGGCTACTGTTTATGTCCTGATGATGCTTCAAAATCCTAGAAAGACTTTGCAAAGAATTTGTATCTAAATAACCTGATACAAGTTGGGAAACAATTCCACACTTCACATGTGGGGCTGATTCTGCTCTACCATAATTAAAACTTCCCTGGTTGAAAAGATAGTACCACATTTGCCTGTGTGTTGATAACTCTAAATCTCAAATAAAAATACTATCAAATAATATCTCCCCTCCCTTGATCCCCTGACAATATTTAAGGATACATCTTTTCTCAAGATCTGCTTGAAATGCACACACACTTTCACACAGACTTCTGTGGCGATTATAGAGTAATTTTTAAGCACTAAATTTCTCTTGGCCTTGTCTGCAGCTGCAGTTTTCCGGTGCAAGTTCTACTTGGTTTTTACTTTGTATTGTGTGCATGAGAGATATGCTACTGGGTATGCTTTTTTTCTTTTAATAAACTCATAAAAATCTAGTGCAGTGGGGTTTTTAAATTGTTTTATAAAGTGTTTATATATAGGGTGGGGAGAGGATAGATTCATATACACTATTATTTTCCAGAACTCACGGGAGAATATTATCTATATACTGAGCAAGTTATTGTCTGCACCATTAGCTTGCTGAAATGTTTTTTTAAAATATATTTAGTTAGTAACTTAGAAGGATCAAGGTTCTGGTTGATCTCCTTTCATTGATATAGATAGTAAATTATCTGAGAATTTGGTAAGATTAGGCTAATTTGAATTTTTTTTTTTTTCTGAAATAGCAGTAAACTGTGCTCTGCTCTAAAAATAGAGAAATTTCTCACCAAGAAAAAATTGCCCCAGTGGGATTGCCTGTATTTTAAAAAACCGAAATCTCCAGTTTAAAGATTTTCCAAGGTTAGAATAGTAAAATGCCCTTTGGACTTAATGCAAGTGTTGAGAAGGAATCCCAGATGAATCTCTTTTCTATTAAAGTAGAATGAGCCTTGCCAGTATTTTGCCACTGGCCATATTGAATAGATATCTCTGAGTTTTATCAGAACAGATGGGGGTTTGATAGAGAAGAAGGAGCTTTCTTGCCATCTTAATTCAGAGTGGAGAAATGTTATCAGTGCTGCTCTAGCTGCTGTTTATGCCCCATGTCATTTTCATTGCTTTCTTAATTTTAGTTCAGCCAACCCCACTGTGACTCATTCATCGGTTTAGGAGGATTTACATCTAGCATGACTGATTTTCATAGTCTCTCCCTTATAGTGATGGGATCATTGTTCTTGCTTTTCTCCTCACTTTAATTAAATCTTACGTTCTTTCAAATACAGGTAGAATAAATCCTACAATGTTTTCTGCTGTTTTAATTCCTTAATCTTAGACTGCTGACAGCTTCATTGCTTCAGATATTTTCACTTCAATTCAGATTATAATCCCCACTGAAGATGTCATTGAAATGATAAAAAGCCTGTAGCACGGCTAGCAGAGATTCAAATGCCCTTGGGACTTGATCCTTTAAAATAAAATTTAAAAAATACCTGCTTAATGTGCCTCAGATTCCTTTCATGCACCAAAGAGAAATGAACATTTAATTTCAACAACGTCCCTATTTGCATTCAAACCATAAAATAAAAAATGAAACCTATGACTAAATATTCTAGACAATTTGAAGAGAGGAAGTACAAAAGAAGAGTTACAATGCTGTGTTAATTCTTTTTATGCACCTTAAAATATGGAATGTTTTGAATAATTTTACCTAGCTAGCAGTGTTGCAACGTGCTCATTATTGTACCTTGATCCAATTTGGTTAGTACTGATGAGAAATAGTATAATCCAGGATATCTCTGATACAGGTTAGCAGTGAATATGCTGTCCTAGTATTCTAAACTTAATACTAGCTGTGTTAGTGTGAGTTTCAAAGAGATTCCTCTGTTCTACATATTGTTAAAAGCTGTTGCAATTGAAACACAGCCCTTTTATCTGCACTTTATGGTTGGGGAAAATCAATGACTACTTAGCTCTAGTGGTGGGTATATTAAATTTTAGTCTCAGATTGACTAGTACTTGCTGGGAAATAAATGTGAATGGCATTCATGTTTTGCTTATGAGTTCCCATATATGTTTGATCTTTATGAAATCAATGTTGTTCTAAATGGGCCTTTGATTTGATATAGCATTGTTCTTTTTGTGTTCTTGAAAAGGTTAACCTAGAGATATTTGCTGTTTTAAGGCATGCAGTACAGAAAATGGCACTAATGTACATTTTTCTACACGTAAGTTTTGATAATGTAGTTTGTCAAATTTTGAATAATTATCTTAATGAAGAATAACATACTCAATAAGCTACAGAATCATATCAATTGCTAGTTAATATGACAAGAGGAGAAGGAGCCCCTCTGCACAATATGGTGTGTATTTGTGTGCATCAGTTTGGGTAGAGAGAGGAATGTAATTTCCATGGTATTTTCTTCTCCGTTTCCTATTTGAAACCTTTTACCTATATTCAAGCCTAAGGGCATCTTCCTCCATGGGACCAGAGCATCTGCCTGCACATGCAGTATTTCTGCCAGTTTTTCCTATCCCAGCACTGGAGATTTTCTCCGAGTGGTGGTGGGGGGAATGTTTTTGTCTTGGGCACTTGCTGAGAGCAATGGAGTGTGTAGTGGGAGAGATACAGACTACTGCTGGATTCCCAGCAGCAGGAGCTGCCTCTAGAAATAATATTTAGACAAAAATCTAGAGAAAAGGTTTTTCTGCAAAGATCATTAACCCCCAAATCCCTGTTCAACTTTTTGTTTGCTGAAACTAGCCCTTTGATTTCCTGCTGATCAAATCACAGTTCTTTAGACCAACCGCCAATCATCCAACCATAGTTCATCTTTACCTGATCTGATTAAGCATGCTGGAGTTCCTTTGTTGTCTTTTTCATGTCTGTGTGTGCCATGTTCTTTCCAGGGAGCCAAGGACTGCATAGGCTGATTTGGGTGAATTTTTTTTATCTGATTCTGTCTTGAATGGATACTGATTTGTTTCCTCTTTGGTTAGGCAGAAAATGACTGAGTGAAGTCTGTATTATAATTTCTCACTACCGGTAGGCCTCACTTAATAACTACAACTGGACCCAAAATTTTGGTCATAAATTATTGCGGTCATTAAGTGGTCACCATGTGACCTGACTCAGTTTTACAACCGTTTTTAGTACAGTTGTAAAGTGAGTCACTGTTGTTAAGCAAATCACATAACCATCAAGTGAACCATGTATTTATTAAAGAAATCCATTCTCATGAATGCAAAAAATGTCAGAAACAGGCTAAAAAGGTCACAAATCGTTTCACGTGAACACAGGATGCTGCAATCAGTCATAAATGCAAGCCAATTGTCAAGCATCCAAAGTGTAATTATGTGATTGTGTCTGTGTGTGCACAGGCAGTCATAACTCCAAGAAAAGGTCATAACATTTTGAGATCCATTGTAATTTCAAATGGTTGTTAAGTGACTGGTCATTAAACAAGCATTACCTGTAGGTTCATTTTACCTCTTCTGTAAATGTATTGCTCTTCATGCAGATATATAAAGTCAGAATGATGCAAGTTTTGTTTTCCAGTTTTAACAGATCAGGAAATTGAAAATGCTTTGTATCCATTATGGGAATATTGATGATTAAGCTTGTGCCATTGTTTCTTCTTACTGTTGGTCCATCTAATCCATGAATGTGGTTGGTAATAACTGTAAAAATGACACATTTATCTCCTTTAACTACTGTTTTCCTCAATCAGGATGTTTTTTTTTTCTAAAGTTTCGTATATATGTACTTGTTCACAAGTACACAAGGGATTTTTAGCAAAAATGAAATTATAGAAAAACTAGGCACTAAAGCAAAAGCATATTTAAAAAAAATAACACACCTAATATGAGTATGTGTATGGGCAGAAAAAAACGCTGTAATTTTAAGGACAAATTCAAATATTTTAAATATATTTAATATTTCTATCCAGAAATTGTCAATATCACTAATAAATTATAACCAGATTTAAATATATTTATCCTACATTTTAGGATTTTTCAAAACTCTTTCAAAGATGGGAGAAAATACCTTGTTCAAAGCAGTGTGCTTTCTAAATTTATTTCAAAGCCCTTTTTAAAAATTAGATTTAGGTGAATTTTACATGATTGCAATACTCTAAATTAATTGAGATATATATTGAAGAAAATAGAGGCATGAAAGAAAAATATATTCTAAACACATCAAAAGGGCCTACTCTGCAATTCTGAAAGGTAGAGTTCTGATGCAGTCTTAGGCAGTGGTGGGATTCACTGGTTGTAACAACTTGTTCGCTGCGCGCGCACAAACTCACACTTCCATACATGCATATTACAATCGAAAGTTACCTTCTTCTGTATCCAGAGTGAGTAAAATAGCTGAGGCGTGACAATCCGCTCTGCTGCGCCTATTAGCTGGGCTTAAAGCAAAAGAAATATAGGTAGGTTATAGCACAGGGGTGGGTGGGCGGGCCCATCTGATCATCGGAGCGAACCGGTTCACTCTCAGCTGATTGTCAGAGCTACTGGTATGCCAAAACTGGTCAGAACTAGCTGGATCCCACCCATGGTCTTAGGTATGCCCACTCGTTTGTGAGCATTTTTTGCTACTTCACTTTAGCATGACTTGTTGCATTATTTTTGGACCAAGAAAGAGATAGCTTAGTTAAAGCCAGTCTGATTTTTTTTCTAAAACCTCAGAATATCTGGCAAACTGTTAATCTTTCTGTTTGTTTTTGCGGTGTTTAATTATGTATCAAGTTATATCAATCACTTTCTTCCCCATTTATTTGCCAGGAATTGAGAGGGCTGGATGACATGGTCTTAGATTTCTTAATGTTCAGTTTCAAGCCAACTTTTGCACTCTCCTTCTTCACCCACATCAAGAGGCTCTTTAGTTGTTCTTCACTTTCTGCCATTAGAGTGGTATCATCTGCATATCTGAGGTTGTTGATATTTATCCTGGCAATCTTAATTCCAACTTTTGATTCATCTAGCCCCACCTTTCTCATTATGTGCTCTGCATATAAGTTAAATAGGCAATTTTGAATGAGTCAGTGGTTCCGTGTCCAGTTCTCACTGTTGCTTCTTGACCCGCATATAGGTTTCTCAAGAGACAAATAGGGTGGTCTGGCGCTCTCATCTCTTTAAGAACTTGCCACAATTTGTTGTGATCCACACAATCAAAGGCTTTAGCATAGTCAATGAAGCAGAAGTAGATGTTTTTCTGGAACTCCCTAACTTTCTCCATGATCCAGCATATGTTGGCAATTTGATCTCTAGTTCCTCTGCCTCTTCGAAATCCTGCCTGTACTTCTGGTAGTTCTCGATCCACATACTGCTGGAGCCTAGCTTGTAGGATATGAGTGCAATGGTGCGATAATTTGAACATTCTTTGTTGTTGCCTTTCTTTGGAATTAGAATGTAAACTGACCTTTTCCAATCCTTTGGCCTCTGTTGAGTT